TATCTACAAAACGAAGACCCCATTGATTTCGCGTCAGCTGACAACGAACAAAGCATTTAAGCGAGGGTCTTCGTTTTGTAGTTCGAGCCGGTCTTATCTGCAAAACGAAGACCCCATTCATTTCGCGTCAGCTGACAACGAACAAAGCATTTAAGCGAGGGTCTTCGTTTTGTAGTTCGAGCCGGCCTCATCTACAAAACGAAGACCCATTGATTTCGCGTCAGTTGGTGTCTGAAGAAAAGCGTTGACCCGGTTTGACTGTCTCTGGTTTGATAGGTCTAAAAAAACAAGTCTTCGTTTTTGGGTCTTGGGTCTTAGGTCTTAGGTCTTAGGTCTTCGTTTTGTAGACACCCCAAATACTACATGGGCGGGCATTGTTAAAGTCAATAAAAAGGCTCTTCAACCATCCATGAGTGGCAATATTTGAACCTTTTTTGTAGGTTTTCGTGTTTGTACATGTAATGTGTTCTTTCTTCCTGGTTTGTATTAAAACACCCTTCAGTTTCTCCTCCATCGTTTCACGGAATATCTGCTCAGGGAATATCATAAACAACATTTGTTTCTAGATCAGTTGGTTGTCTAGACTTGTGTGTGAAACAAATTCCTGTTGTGTCTCGGATTTCGTTGTTTGCGAGTAATCTTGTGTACGTAGCTCAGGTAAACCATTGATACATTTAATCATGTTATGGGTTTCAGTGGAGTAATTTTAGGAGGAGGTTTGTTCAGGATGACTGAAACAATCCACTGAGGGTCTAAACGCGTTTAACCTTGTGATTTCAGAGCAACTTTGAAGTGAATCGCGTAAGGAAAACACTGGAATCCTGGCATATACCGCAATTACAACAGAATCAGTGATTCATTTTTGACCAGTGAAAGTGTAGATGGAAGGAGTTACAGTAGTTGGGGGCAAATCACTCGCTCGGTCAGCTATTCATGAGTCGCAAACATTGATTTTGTGGTAATTCCGCTGATCAGTGTATTCCGTGAGAGGGGCGACATTTGCCCAAGATGTGAGCAAACTGGCTGCCATGCATGGCAGTGATGAGCTGATCTTTCGCGTTTGGAGTGGAACAAGTCAGAGGTGCTTCCAAATTGAACACAACTTGATAGGACAACAGTGGGTGTATAATTCTATCCATCGATAGCTTAATAACCGAAGCCGAGGCGTTGTCGACGATGGTGTGCGAGGATCTGCGAGGGTTTCACGCTCGAAAAGAGGTTTTCTTTCGCGAGATATTTCAACTCTCCATAATTTTCTCATTGTCTAACATAATCACATTACCTTAATGGCATGCACTTTTTCATTTAGCTGATAATGGATAAGGAAGAAATCTATCAGTGTTTTTTTCCTTATGCCGTTATGTTTCCATGCTGTCATTTATGTCAGCATTTCCACACTGCAACATAACAATCCTGTCGACATGTCACAAGTGTCAACCAGGCTTAACATGTCTTACATAATTTTTTTAGATTTATTCCAAATATTTGCTATCTTCACTTATCTCTTTCTAATCATAAAACGACCATGGAACTAAGTACATCAGACATTGAATGTCTTTTTCGCGTTCCTTTTAATTCCTCAGCGTTGTATTACATAGAGATATACGGCCTTTATTTAAACACCATGATGTTTAAAGCTGAAAGCTTACTGGCTCGTGTGTCTACAAAATCAAAAACTAAAATTACCTAAATACATCTAAGAATACAACTAAAATTGAAGATGTCTTAGTGATACGTCATTGTAAAAATCGATAAAATCTTATACGCTTTAGTTCGTTCTCATACACGGATTTGAGACAAAGCGCAGTACTTGTTATACACGAAAATTGTATGGCAACAACGATTAAACTGAATTTGGAGAATCAAGACATAACTTAACCAGTCCTACGAATAGTGTGATGCCGTGTGGCTTCTTAGGCCCCATCCACTACGCCAGAGGAATTTAAAAACGCAACAATAACCGGCGGTCATTTTGGATTTGTATTTGAAAACAATTCGGCCAAAGAAATTTACGTTTTGAAAAAGCTCCGTTTTCAAAATGTTTTCTGTCCTCACGAAAACGCAAAGCCGGCGTTTTCAAATTCCTCCGGTTTGAAGAGCGTTTTCGAAAAGCTCCGTTTTCGTGACGGATTAGTGTGAACCGTAGGCCTTATCGTAAAAATAAAGCTGCGTTTTCAAATTTCTCTGGTGTAGTGTGGACGTTGTCTAACTAAGGCGTGTAGACGGGGCCTTAAGTCCTATGATTATTATGATGCGCGACTTCTGAGCCAAGTAATGGTGTTCCGTAGTATGTTCAAGAAGGCACGTCTCAGGTGTCTCATCTTCCAACAGTAAATTATGGGGTTCAAAACTGAATTGAGAAACACGAGAGTCATTGAATAAAGAAAAAATCTCTTCAAAGAAATACTTGGGCCGTGGATTTTGATGGCAGCCATGGAGATTACGTGAGGCAAATAACAAACCAAAAACAGAAGGTACACGTAAAATGTGCCAAAAGCAGATTTGACGAGAGTGGCAAAATTTGCCATTTCGCTGGTCTGTATAGGCTCGATTTCTGTCGTTATCTCGAGTCCGGTCTCCTCTCCCGAAAAGCGGCTGGTAATCGAACATACGGTCTGTGTACAGTGTTGTACTTGAAGAGTTAGAGCCTGCATTTCATTCTTATGGTGTCGTACCGCTAAATAAATCCTGACGTATGCCACCGTCATAACAAGCAGGCCGACAACTGCAGAAATGATAGTAATAACATAGACAATATCGGGTGAGACAAACAACATTGGTAAAGAAAGAAGCACACTAAGCAGCCATATTGAGATCACTAGAGCAACAACTCGCTTGTGAGTCACAAGTTCCTGGTATCTGAGATGAAGATGAATTGCCAAGAACCTGTCAACACTTACAGCAACAACACCAGAGAACGATGCCACAGAAAACAAGTACAGAATGATGTGGAACACTTCATTGTTGCTACAGCTAGAATTATGTTGTAACCAGCCGACCAGAAGTGAAATATAAAATGGCAGAACTAGTGCACCGATACCAACATCGGAAACAGCAAGACTCAGGAGCAATGTTTTTATAGTCTTTGGCATTGACGCCGTGTTTCGTATTGCGTGGATTGTTACGATGTTCAACGTAATGGCGTTGTAGGACAGAAAACTGTTGAAGACACAATTGGCGATGTAGGTAGAATGGAGGTCCTCAATTTCTGAGTTTGAGGGGAAATACAGCAGCGAATCTTCACATATTGTTTTCATGATTACCACTCAAAGTGAATTCACCTGACCGTCTTGACGTTGTCACTCCTCTCCTTGTTTTCCCAAGGACATTTATGTTCTTAGCGGCTTGTTTGCACGTTGTTAAAATATCTCGTCCGTCACAACCACTGTGGTCATACGCGAAGCGGAATAAAAATGTCTTTCAAAGAAATTATAAGCAGTTTGGTCTCTTCCCGCAAAATGCGCAGTTCATCTTTTACCAAATACCAGGCGGAAAGAACTGTATATAGTCTTTAAAATGAATGCAAATAAAATACGACTTGTATAAGGACCATCTGGACTTCTTTGACAGGCGAGGCGTTTGTAAAATTTTGCTGCGAAAATTATCTTTCTAAGGCTGAATCTGAAGGAAGTTCATAAGGTCTTGGGGATTAACGGAAATTAAGTCTTGAAAGAAACAGTTGGGCACATGAGGTGCTTCACGGAAACTTTCTAAATATTTCAAACAAAAAAAGAGGGAGCATCTTTGACATGAGTGTAGTTTAAAAACGTTTTATACAAACGTTGTCATATGCTAATCCATGTAAAACCTGCAAATTTCTGTCAAAAAAGGCTTCCCTGAAAAGGAGTTCGTCGTTTTCTTTGTTTTGGAAATTTGCAAGCGTTTTCCTAATCATGAACGAATTATAACCGGCCGGTGGCAAGCGTGCGAAACTTCACGTATGCCAATTCACGACAGCTTTGTTTGCATTTCATTGGCTGAGAAGGCAGTAACTCCACTCTGATTTGTTAAAGCGCGTTGCGCGGGTTTCATTAACTGATTAGTAATTGTGTGCTGGATGTTGTATGTCGGAGAACTGTCTGAATGTTCCATTACCAGCCCGCATGCGCTCTGGCGTACGGCTAAAGCAGTGAGCAGCAAACCAACGTGAGCGTGTTCCTAGTTTTCAATTCCAGTGTCCCAGTCATTGCAAAGCGAATAAAACTGGTTAATATATGGAACAGCGAGCAAAACATTGCTACATACCCTATTTCATGAAAGTATTTGTAATATTAATTTACTTTAAATATTCGCTTTAAGAATCACAAAACTGCCACTGACCTCAGTATATCACAGTATTACACGAGCAAGTTTTGCTAATTCGCGAATGGAAGTGTGAAGATATCGATCAGGCCCTATTTCGGAAGGATAGTTTTGCTCTCAGTGCAATCTCGAGAATTCGGAGTAGTGAAATTAACTGACCAGGCAAAAGATACTTGTATTCTGAGTAAACTGCCGAGTACAGCTTGCTGGTCACGGGAGAAAACGGGATTAGGGATGTGTGATGCAAAACAGCTTTGTGTCGAGAGCAACTTCGACCCATGAGGCAAATCATATCATTCGCATTTTATTATTTCGCTCATTGAAGCGGACCATTTACAATATTCTTCAGCTGCGTACCGCTAAATAAATCCTGACGTATGCCACCGTCATAGCAAGCAGGCCGACAACTGCAGAAATGATAGTAATAACATAGACAATATCGGGTGAGACAAGCAACATTGGTGAAGAAAGAAACACACTAAGCAGCCATATTGAGATCACTAGAGCAACAACTCGCTTGTGAGTCACAAGTTCCTGGTATCTGAGATGAAGATGAATTGCCAAGAACCTGTCAACACTTACAGCAACAACACCAGAGAACGATGCCACAGAAAACAAGTACAGAATGATGTGGAACACTTCATTGTTGCTACAGCTAGAATTATGTTGTAACCAGCCGACCAGAAGTGAAATATAAAATGGCAGAACTAGTGCACCGATACCAACATCGGAAACAGCAAGACTCAGGAGCAATGTTTTTATAGTCTTTGGCATTGACGCCGTGTTTCGTATTGCGTGGATTGTTACGATGTTCAACGTAATGGCGTTGTAGGACAGAAAACTGTTGAAGACACAATTGGCGATGTAGGTAGAATGGAGGTCCTCAATTTCTGAGTTTGAGGGGAAATACAGCAGCGAATCTTCACATATTGTTTTCATGATTACCACTCAAAGTGAATTCACCTGACCGTCTTGACGTTGTCACTCCTCTCCTTGTTTTCCCAAGGACATTTATGTTCTTAGCGGCTTGTTTGCACGTTGTTAAAATATCTCGTCCGTCACAACCACTGTGGTCATACGCGAAGCGGAATAAAAATGTCTTTCAAAGAAATTATAAGCAGTTTGGTCTCTTCCCGCAAAATGCGCAGTTCATCTTTTACCAAATACCAGGCGGAAAGAACTGTATATAGTCTTTAAAATGAATGCAAATAAAATACGACTTGTATAAGGACCATCTGGACTTCTTTGACAGGCGAGGCGTTTGTAAAATTTTGCTGCGAAAATTATCTTTCTAAGGCTGAATCTGAAGGAAGTTCATAAGGTCTTGGGGATTAACGGAAATTAAGTCTTGAAAGAAACAGTTGGGCACATGAGGTGCTTCACGGAAACTTTCTAAATATTTCAAACAAAAAAAGAGGGAGCATCTTTGACATGAGTGTAGTTTAAAAACGTTTTATACAAACGTTGTCATATGCTAATCCATGTAAAACCTGCAAATTTCTGTCAAAAAAGGCTTCCCTGAAAAGGAGTTCGTCGTTTTCTTTGTTTTGGAAATTTGCAAGCGTTTTCCTAATCATGAACGAATTATAACCGGCCGGTGGCAAGCGTGCGAAACTTCACGTATGCCAATTCACGACAGCTTTGTTTGCATTTCATTGGCTGAGAAGGCAGTAACTCCACTCTGATTTGTTAAAGCGCGTTGCGCGGGTTTCATTAACTGATTAGTAATTGTGTGCTGGATGTTGTATGTCGGAGAACTGTCTGAATGTTCCATTACCAGCCCGCATGCGCTCTGGCGTACGGCTAAAGCAGTGAGCAGCAAACCAACGTGAGCGTGTTCCTAGTTTTCAATTCCAGTGTCCCAGTCATTGCAAAGCGAATAAAACTGGTTAATATATGGAACAGCGAGCAAAACATTGCTACATACCCTATTTCATGAAAGTATTTGTAATATTAATTTACTTTAAATATTCGCTTTAAGAATCACAAAACTGCCACTGACCTCAGTATATCACAGTATTACACGAGCAAGTTTTGCTAATTCGCGAATGGAAGTGTGAAGATATCGATCAGGCCCTATTTCGGAAGGATAGTTTTGCTCTCAGTGCAATCTCGAGAATTCGGAGTAGTGAAATTAACTGACCAGGCAAAAGATACTTGTATTCTGAGTAAACTGCCGAGTACAGCTTGCTGGTCACGGGAGAAAACGGGATTAGGGATGTGTGATGCAAAACAGCTTTGTGTCGAGAGCAACTTCGACCCATGAGGCAAATCATATCATTCGCATTTTATTATTTCGCTCATTGAAGCGGACCATTTACAATATTCTTCAGCTGCGTACCGCTAAATAAATCCTGACGTATGCCACCGTCATAGCAAGCAGGCCGACAACTGCAGAAATGATAGTAATAACATAGACAATATCGGGTGAGACAAGCAACATTGGTGAAGAAAGAAACACACTAAGCAGCCATATTGAGATCACTAGAGCAACAACTCGCTTGTGAGTCACAAGTTCCTGGTATCTGAGATGAAGATGAATTGCCAAGAACCTGTCAACACTTACAGCAACAACACCAGAGAACGATGCCACAGAAAACAAGTACAGAATGATGTGGAACACTTCATTGTTGCTACAGCTAGAATTATGTTGTAACCAGCCGACCAGAAGTGAAATATAAAATGGCAGAACTAGTGCACCGATACCAACATCGGAAACAGCAAGACTCAGGAGCAATGTTTTTATAGTCTTTGGCATTGACGCCGTGTTTCGTATTGCGTGGATTGTTACGATGTTCAACGTAATGGCGTTGTAGGACAGAAAACTGTTGAAGACACAATTGGCGATGTAGGTAGAATGGAGGTCCTCAATTTCTGAGTTTGAGGGGAAATACAGCAGCGAATCTTCACATATTGTTTTCATGATTACCACTCAAAGTGAATTCACCTGACCGTCTTGACGTTGTCACTCCTCTCCTTGTTTTCCCAAGGACATTTATGTTCTTAGCGGCTTGTTTGCACGTTGTTAAAATATCTCGTCCGTCACAACCACTGTGGTCATACGCGAAGCGGAATAAAAATGTTCCTGAAAGAAAGTAAGCAGTTTGGTCTCTTCCCGCAAAATGCGCAGTTTATCTTTTACTAAGTACCAGGCGGAAAGAACTGAATATAGTCATAAAAATGAATGCAAATAAAATACGGCTTGTAATAAGACCATCTGGACTTCTTTGACAGGCGAGGCGTTTGTAAAATTTTGCTGCGAAAATTATCTTTCTAAAGCTGAATCTGAAGGAAGTTCATAAGGTTTTGGGGATTAACGGAAATTAAGTCTTGAAAGAAACAGTAGGGTGCATGAGGCGCTTCACGGAAATTTTCTGAATATTAAAAAAGAAAGCACCTTTGCTAATCAATGTAAAACCTGCAAACTTCTGTCAAACAAGGGTTCCCTGAAGTAGTTCGTCGTTTCCTTTGTTTTGGAAATTTGCAAGCGTTTTCGTAATGAACGAATTATAACTGAAATAAACATATGTAGTTGGTGGCAAGCGGGAGAAACTTCACGTATGCCAACTCACGACAGCTTTGTTTACATTTCATTGGCTGAGAAGGCAGCCAACTCCACTCTGATTGGTTAAAGCGCGTTACACAGGTTTCATTAACCATTCAGTAATTGTGTGCTAGGTGTTATAAGTCGGAAGAACTGTCTGAATGTTCCATTACCAGCCCGCATGCGCTCTGGCGTACGGCTAAAGCAGTTAGCAGCCGACCAACGCGAGCGCGTTCCTAGCTTTTAATTCCAGTGTCTCAATCATTGAAAAGCGAATAAAACTAGTCAATATTTGGGACAGTGAGCAAAATATTGCTACATACTCTATTTCATGAAAGTATTTGTAATAAATTTACTTTAAATGTTTACTTTAAAAATCACAAAACTGCCACTGACCTCAGTATATCACAGTATTACACGAGCAAATTTTGCTAATTCGCGAATGGAAGTGTGAAGATATCGATCAGGCCCTATTTCGGAAGGATAGTTTTGCTCTCAGTGCAATCTCGAAAATTCGGAGTAGTGAAATTAACTGACCAGGCAAAAAATACTTGTATTCTGAGTAAACTGCCGAGTACAGCTTGCTGGTCACGGTAGTAAACGGGATTAGGGACGTGTGATGCAAAACAGCTTTGTGTAGAGAGCAACTTCGACCCCTGAGGCAAACCATATCATTCACATTTTATTATTTCGCTCATTGAAGCGGACCATTTACAATATTCTTCAGCTGTCGAGGCAATGAAATCGACCATAAAAATGAGGGAACAGACCCATCATCTTCTCTTAACTGCCATTCTGACTCTTCTAATCCTCTCACCGTCTGATACGAGAGGGTTGATAATTAGCCACCCACGCAGATAGCGTGACGAGCAGCCCGAAAAGGCTGATAGTGTGATAAGCAGATAACGTGACAAGATAGCGCGATGAGCAGCCCTAAAGGGTAGATAGCGTGACGAGATAGCGTGACGCAGATAGCTTGACGAGTAGGTTGAAAGGACGTATGTTTGGAAAGCTATTGACACCTTTGTTTTAAGTCTTTTCTTTTGTATCTTTATACTTAACTGTGAAAGACACAAAAGCATAAACACGTCGATTTGATTTTGATATATCAGTTGTGAAGCAATACCGAAGCTAACACATCTGTTACCTTATGTAAACAAGACGTAAATTAGAGAGAATTTAAACAAATAATAAACACAACGTAAAATTGAGAATTTTGACGAATAAAATATTTTGTGACATGCGGGCTTGCATGCAACGTCGCCTTGTTAAATCAAAACTTTCTTTTGTCTATAAATTTTATATTACTAGTGTTAGCGATTTCAAATTGAATTTATTAGCAGTTTAAAAATTGCCTTTCCTGATCATGAAAAAAAAATATATATTTCGTCCAGTGCAAGTTACTTTAGGCACCATCCACATTAGGCCATTCCCCTCCCCCCGCCCCCCCCCTTTTTTTTTCGTTTATCGTTGAATGCGTTTCCTGATATTGCGTCGGTCGGTCAGATTGCAAAAAAAGTAAAAAACAAAAAAATCACAAGCAGTCTCTGAATAGGAGGCCTGGTATTCCAGCATCATTGCTGAGGAGCCTGAAAACAACAAGACATGAACCCAAAATCAATATGGCGGAAAAGTTGCTTGATGTTATTGTAAAAATTAAGGCAACGAAGCACAATATACAGTAAACGAATGTTTCTGTTTTTGTTCCTGTTTTTGTTCCTTTTTTTCTCTATTCTGTTACTATGCTCATTTTTCAGATTGAAAGAAATTTGAAAATGCAACAATCACCAGCGGCAGTAATGCTTGAGTGCAGCCTTGAAGGTCGGAATCAATGACAGGATTATCGTTAAGCCACCGTTTTCGTCGAAGAGCTCCTTTTCAAAATGTTTTGTGTCCACATTAAAACGCAAAGCAAATTCCTCCTGTTTGAAGAGCGTTTTCGCAGAGTCTTGTGACTTCAAGTTGTCGAGAGTTCTTAAACTCCGTACAATACCCCATCAATGGTCATGTTTGGGTTCGTCTACTGGACTTGGTCTGGATCTCCCACAAAAGATCCTGTTTGGGTTTCTTATTCTATAAACTTTAGTTTCTATTGGTTGTTTCAAGAACTTTGTAGGTTCGCTCCTGAAAGTCGCGTGAAAGTGTTTGGGTTAGTATTCTAAAAGAGTGTTTAACCCTCCAAGGTCAGTCGCCCGTGTGGCCCACACACAGCTACCGATATGGTATTTAATTGCGCGTATGCATTTGTTCGTCAAGTGGTAGAAGTAGAAGAAGTCAAAAGTTAGATGAAGACTGTGCTGGCTAGACAGAAGTTAATGCGAGATGTAACAGAGCAAAGACTAGATTCTCGGTGGCTTCTCGTTTGGACGATCAAGGGAAACCAACAATAGAATTTATTCACCGCCACTTCAACTTGAACTCGTGCACGAGCAAGTGAGAAGAAGTCGGAGTCGGAGTCGTAATCCGAAGTACAGAGCGGCTCAGGTCTTAAAAAATGTATGGAGATTTTGGACAGATCGTAAATAGGATAGGGAAAATGGTAGATTTTCGCAACATATCATCACAACATATCGTAACATTGTTGGCCCAGTGGCAAACGATCGCAACATTTCAGCGCAGCATCATGTTGCACGCGTTTAGCCACCTTGTTGCGACATGTTGCGACATGATGCGACATGTTGGGTATAGAAAATCGAACTAGTGCTCATGCCCGGGTGCAACATTGTTGCACGAACCTGGCCAAACGACTACAACATCATGCAACATCCAAAAATGTTAGATGAAAAAGTTGACCAGTTTCAAATTTGAGCCAACAACACCCAACATGTCGCAACACTTCGCAACACGTCACAACTGGGTGGCCAAACGCACGAAACATGTTACGCCCAACAATGTTGCGATGTGTTAAGTTGAAATGTTGCGATCGTTTGGCCGGGGCTTAAGGGTTTTCGAAGAGGGCCGCACACCACCACCTAATTTTTCTGGGGGTACCCTCGAGCTACGCAACTAATTAAGCGTTTAACAAGCCGCTTAATATACCCCAGCCGATATAGGTAATTGGTTTTTCTATAGATAAAGGCTATTCTTATGCAAATACTTGGTGACTGGAGCTGCGCATTGGGCGGAAAGCGAAATGAATGCGAAATTGACTAGGGTTCCTTTGTTCGTGCAAAAATTTGCAAAACTAGAAATAACCCACAACCTGCATTCCGATCGAAGAATACAATTCGGTCCATCGAAAATTTATGATTCAAGTTTCTATCGGAAAAGATGCCCCTTTAGAAATGAGGAAGTGGAAGAACTTTGACTTTGAAAGGTTCAGTTGTAAGCAAAGACACTTAAAGGTGTTGGGAGTTGCCAACGCAGCACGTTTGAAACTGATCATTTATTCACGTTAGGTTTACAAGGGTGATTGTACCTGCTCTTAATCAGTCAGTTTGTAAAGAAAAATTAAGTAAAACCTCGCGACTGAGTAAGACCTCAATTTTAAGCTAAAATTGGTTTTCTGACAAAAGCGCATTGTTATAAGTCTAGACCGTCAATACATTTTTCTCCGTTTCATAAATTTCCCTGGAGATAGGGACTTATATTCTTCCAAACTGCGCACATTTCTAAAGCCCCGACCACCGTTTTCGTTTGAAAACACATACTTTTTGATGCGTTTTCGCCTATCGTCCAGAGTAAAATGACCGAAAACGATGATGAAAATGCGTTCAAAAACGGTTTCAGAAGTGGAGCCTTTTGAAAATGCATCGCTTATAAAACGCTAGCGCTCCGTTTGTAGCGTGGATAGGTGAAAACGGAGACCTTTGAAAACGATGCCGAAAAAAGAGTCATGTAGTGTCGTTTCGATTGGTGTTATCGGTCGTTTAATTGTGGGCGATGGTTGAAAACGCATCAAAAAGTAAGTATTTTCGTATGAATATGAAAACGAATTAGTGTGGCCAGGTGAAAACCAAACGAAAACGCTAGTGTAGTCGAAAATATTTTGCTTGTTTTTCGTTGAGATGAAACGCATATTTTTAAAACCGCCCTAGTGTGGTCTGGGACTAACTTAGAGAACCGAATGGAAGAAGGGACAGAATAATTTAAGCGAACTTAACTTTATTAACTTTAATTTACACCTAACATTTAAATAAATTAAATTTATTAACACATTTGGAAGTTGTGGATAAACGTGCTTATTTAGCCTCTAGTTGATATTCTGTTCTCGTTTCAATCTCTTACCAGCAAAAGTATATTGGTCTTTTTTGAAAAGTGAATAGACCAATTTCGATATATTAAAGTTCAGCCTAAAACAATAGACCTCAGGCCACCTCAGCACAACCCCATCGTTTTAGGCTGAACTTTAATATATCGAAATTGGTCCGTCTATTATCCCGAAGCAACAAAATTTACAACGTTACAAATTCTTATGAATATGGAACACAGAAAGTGACAGCAGGTGACACTGTCCATTCCAAATAATTGCTCGTCTGTCCCTTTGATCGCTGACGGAAATATTATACCGTTTTTTTTCTGTTTTTTCTTTTTTCCGTTATTTATTTTTGCTTTAAGGCTTCTTCGAATACCTCAATAAACTGCTCAAAAATGTATTAAAATTTCGAAACGGTTGAAATATAGAAATTCCCAAATGTATCCCAAACGATCTCAAAATATGCTACCAGACACGACAGACGAACAACAACTGAGCTGAGTGAAGTATACACACGCTTAAAACATGAAACCTCTGCTTTTTCGCCCCTTTGCAACGTTATTTCCACTGGTTTTTACGGATAGAACAGAATTGTTGGTCTCTGTGTTCGGCCGTTTAACTGTGCTGGTGCTGGTGAATCATAAATATAGCTCGCGGTTTTCGGTTTTTCCGTTTTTTCGTGGCGCGAGGCTAGGGTAATACTTAAAAACGACGACCTGTTTCACAACATTAAAGGGGGATTTGTAAGTATTGTGAAATAACATCCAGTGGTCTCCAAGGCACTCTGGTGCATATGACGAGGCCTCTGTCCTGCGATTAGATTATTCCATGGTAAAGGTGATGTAAATTTCACAAGCTTGTTTTGTCCGTAAATCCATGTTAAAAAGCTAAGACCACACAAGCACAGACAACTTAGCGAGCCTTCAAAACTTTTATGCTTCGTTATAAACATCTCGAGCAATCTGTGTGTTTGTGAACAGTCTGTGTTAGATGTCAAAACTATTTGCTCGCTGGTTACTGAATGCAAGAAGAAACAATAGGCAATCTCGTTCCCAGAGCCTTCGTTACCCTTGTTCCGCTGGACAAGGGTAACGAAGGCTCTGGGAACGAGATTGAACAGTTGACCGCGTGACGTGCTTTTCACTGGTAATGCATAATGTTAGTAGAAATGAAAAGAACATTTACAAATAAGCTTACATGTCAATTTTCAAGTTTATCCTTATGAGGAAGTTTTTATGGACGTTAGAAATTAGAAGGATTTGTATGGCAAGATCACGCTGTGCCATCCAGTCAGGCTCCAGTGGTTTTCAGTATAAATTCTAATATAAATCCTTGCAATTTTACAAGCTTTCAAACGGCCCTAAAATTTTACCTCTTGATTTAAGAGCCTAACATTTTCCACCCTTGCTGTTACTTATCCGCTCTTTCTATCTCCAATAGTTGAATGCCCATTAGTAATCCTTTGTTGAGATAAATAACGAAAAGGTCTCTGGAATGCAAAGCTTCCTCGCTTTCATACAACACCTTCAAATAATTTTTTGCACTATTCAAATGTTACATGGCATTGGTTTGAAAATTAGTATTCTGGCTAATTGAAGCATGCTTTTTCTTGTTTTGAATTTCCTTTATTCATTACCTTCTTGGATAAATATTCTCTGGGTACCAGAGGTTGTTTCTAGCTTATGCCGCGGCAAACGAGTGGCCAAGCCGTGAGAATAAAATGATATAATACAAAGCTTTAATATATAAATATTTATATGTAAACAATATAAAGGCTCTATACGGAAAGAGGAAACCGCCCATGAAGATTCTCTCACACCCAGTGTCGGTTGGACAAGGCCCGGTGGGGGGGGGGTTACTCCCTTATATGGGCTATATAGGTATGTGCGGCCCCAAAGGGTAGGGTTTATCAGCCGTTTTGGTCATAAATAAGGTATCGATTTTGGCCATTCTGGTCCTAAATTGGGTATGGTTTTAGCACTTTAGTCTTGGATTGCGTATATTTCTTAGAAGAAGCTACTTTTTCATCATTATCAATAAGACCGTCAACAAAAGCCCTTCATAACCTATGTTTAGGGCAACTGTGCCAGCTACAAAGGTCACAATTAGGGTTTCGAATTTTTGGCCAGGTCTTAAAAAGGGTAGCAAAAATCACAGATTTTGGTCATAAATAGGTTAAGGATTTTGGGAGGTGGGCCGCACACACCTACCCAACTTTTCTGGGAGTACTCCACCCCGGGGGAGAAGGCTAATAGTTTGTAGTTTTCACGCCGTAGTACAGATTACAATTTTATCTGCATTTTACGAAATACAAATCAAAAGTTCTTTAAAAGTGTTAGAAGCCAATTTAATAGGTTTAATAGGATGTGTCAACCGAAGGCAATTTTGTGCCCTCTTTGCGGTGAACTTAATTATATGATCACATTTCATTTCCTCGTTCTTCGTCGCTACTGAGTAATTTGACTGTTTTTATTCTGCTCGTATACCTGCAAATGCACGTTAGGTTTTAGATGAAACACTTCCGGTCAAAAATATCTGTATGAGCTATTGTGTTGTTCAGTTGAAGTGCGGCAAACGCAGTCTTACGTTAAAAAATTACGGAGAGGTACTGAGAGTCTCTGGGAAGGGGTAGCTGGGGATTTTAGTGGCTTTTATTCTTCGAAGCACGCAGACTGTTGGAATTAGAGTGCCATGGATTACCATGAAAAAAATGGATGATCGCGAGTCTAACACAAGACAAACTAAAATTAACAGTTGAGTAATAAACAATTTCGTTTCTTAGCAATTGTAAAATCACGAGTCTCAGTTATAGAGACAGATTTTGTATCCTGAAGAGCGTTATAGAACATCTACCTCACCAAAAGTTTTGAAAACAGCTCGCCGCGATCGCTTGAAATGGAAGAGTAAAGCAAGATGACGAGCTCAATGGCCTTGATGATGCTCGTTATACTTCTTGTCGCTGGAAGAGTTTGTTACAATGACACGACTGGCTCTCTTGCTCAGCCTGACTGCGAGATGAGAAGAGTCAAAGATCACACACTTTTGTATATTTTTATAGTTCACTGTTCTGTTCTTGTTTTCCTTCTGGCTAGTGAATATATTCTATAACGTCAACCCCGTTAATTAATGTCCCAGAAAAGGTTAGGCTGGCTTTGATTGTGACGGGAAGGGAGAGCGTGGCTTAATTCTAACACTTGTAATACAATGGATTTAAATCTGATATTTCCCTCAACATATATATTCTCCTCGATCATTACGGTCTTTAATTAATAGGTTAAGTCTGTATACGAGTCACGTGGCCCATCAGGCCGGAGCTTATCCCGGTTTCCGTAGCATGAAGTGACTAGGAGTATTTCTACTCCTCGCTTGATGGAATGCTAGTCCATTGCAGGGTTATCCTTAGCATTAAGTTCGCCGGTACCCATTTATACACCTGCGTGGAGAGGCACTGTGAGAGTAAAGTGTTTCGCCCAACTGTACACAACACAATGTCCCCGGCCAGGGCTCTAACCCGGACCGCTCGATCCGAAGACGAGCCCACTAACTATTAGGCCACCGCTCCTCTAATTATCTCCATCACCAAATTCTCCCAATATATTCCACCAATCTGAGTTGGTGTACCTAAAAACCTAAATAAAAACAGCACAATGCGTTCAATTTAGTAGCTTTGTTACAGCGCCAAATAAGCCGAGATTCTTGGACAGTTTTAGGGTTTGAAGATTTGAAAACATTTGTACGTTGGATTCCAGCAAGGTTTTTCCTAACAAGTCTTGATAATTTTTTAAAACTTTAAATAACTGTAACAACTCACACTATAACGTAAGTGGCTTCAAAATTGGAAATCTTATTTCTTAATCACGTTGTTTCCATTTCTGGTATTATATTCGTACCACGGCCATTTTTGTTTATTTATTTAACTTCGCCTAACTAAAATGCTGACTTATATACAACAAAATTTATTAGGCAGGGAGACCAGTACAGCCTAGCCAATTACAGTGGATCCCAGGGTACTAATAAGAATTAAACTT